CACGCTGTTCGTATATTGATTCTTTTTAAAAATTTGTTTTTGTTATTACAGAATTGAACAAAACCCAAACTTATTTATGTTCTTGTGGTAACGTGAATGGGTTTATACCGATATGAGCATGGGTTGTCGACAGATCTCGATTTTCTGATATTTCACTTCGTAGATGAAGATAGTTACATGGATATACGACAAAGGTAACTAAATTTATGAAGTTGTTTAAATGTAAATTTATTGTTCTTTAGCTTTGTGGATTTTATGGTGATTTTGTTTTTATAAATCAATGTTGGAATTGGCGTATGGATTCTTCTAGCATATAAAATATTTTGAGTATCATGTTACCAGTCATACATACATATATATTACGCATAGTATGTTTGATATTTCTATTATATATGATTTTTTCAGGGAGAATCAACAACTTTGTAAGCATAGAAACTAACTGCAACAAACCTACGTTTACAAGTAAGTGTCATTTTCTTGGTTTCAAAAACTCAATCTTAAATTTCTTACTCAATCAGATATGCTTTAATAACGAAAAGTATAATATCAATAATATTGCTTAATATTTGTGTAATTACTACTTAAACTCAATAGCAATTACAAGCAATTATGCAGTTCTTCATTGCTAATACATATTACTTTAGTAAGAGATAATCTAAAGAAAAAGAAACATACCTTTTTTTATGATGCCGTAGAATAGATGGTTGTTATGAAGCCACGTTGTTTATGCATGTAGAAAGAAAAACACAGTTAATTAATATTGTGTATACATGAGTAAGTAAAAAATATAGTTTAAGAATATGGAAGACATACGTGTGAGCAGACTGTAGAAATGGTGAGGGTTTTCTCTCTTAATTGAATTACAAAATCTGTTTTTCCACAGAAGAAAGTTGTATATTTTTATTTGCCTGTAAAAGACTTTTCTTGAAATAAAAACAATGTTTGATCATAAATTTATGTAACTGATTTTGTTTTTTTTGTGAAAAGATGATTGTAATGATGTAATCGTACCAAATGATTGAGCAATGTTGAATGTTGTGGGCAGGTTGCTGTTGGTGATGATCGATTTTTTCCACAGAAGAAAGAAGAAAGCAACTGGATAATAATGATATCTAGGCACGTGAGAAAACTTAATATTTAAATTTCAAAAGTAATGTTGACTCATTCTAGTCAAAAAGTATTGATTTTTTTTTAAAATTTAAATCCTCTATATTGGATAAGATAAGGGTGTAGGTTTGAATGTTTTAATATTAATTTTACACTTATACTTAATGCATTGTATTTTGTAATTTGTGGATAATTTGTTGTATTATTAGCTTAAACACTTGGACATCTTAAATCTATTTTTGAAAATAGTAAGATTTGTATAATAATATA